GAGCATGTCTCCAAATCTCTAGCCTCTCGTTGACGCCGCCTCTTGTCTCGTCAATTAGAATAACATCATTAGCAAATAGCATGCACCATGGAACCTCCCCTTGAATATGATGAGTCAGTGCATCCATCACCAGGGAAAATAGGAATGGGCTGAGCGCAGACCCTTGGTGCAATCCCGTAATAACTGGAAAGTGTTCAGAGTTGCCTCCTACTGTCCTAACCCGAGTCTTAGCTCCATCATACATGTCTTTAATCACCCTAATATAGTTACTCGGGACCCCTTTATCCTCTAAGCGGCTCCATAAGAAGAATCAGACCTTTCGTTTATTTATATACCCAGATCTTCCTTTTAGCTTGTTGGTAAAATTTTATTCCTTTATAAGTTTTTGATCAAAATTCTCTGTTTCAGCATGTGATGTGTAGAGTGAGCCTGCTTTATTCGGTGGATGTGAGAATATGATCAGGTGACAGCAATACAAATCGCCAAGCAAATACTTAGCACATCTGCATATTTACTTATTATGGGCAACTGTAGCATGTATAATGTTTAAATTATCAAATATGTGTTTTTATAACTTTAGTGTGATATGAATTTGAATGTGTTGATGTTTGTTACTATAGATATTCTTAATGGAATTGGATTTATGTTGTATGAGTTATTGAGTTTATTTTTTGAATCCTTGAATTAATATTTTCCACTATTGTGGCAGTTATAAGGTGCCAATGATTATTTTTTTTTAAAAGATTGAGATCAAATTGTGGGGTTTATAACCCTCTTACATTATTTTTTTTAAAAACACAGAGATCATATTTTGGGTGTTACAAATCGTCGCCAATTGCCTTTAAAAACCGCCACAAATTAAAAATTTATATTGTGGCAGTCGTCGTGGAGGTTTTACAAAATTGCCATAGAAATGCTCGTGGCGAAGGTAACTGTGGCGTTTTTTGAAACCGTCACAATTCATTTTGCAGGGGTCAAAAACCGCCACAAAACTTAAAAATACCCCACAAAATGAGCCTTTTCTTGTAGTGTTCCCATATGAGATATTTGACTTTAACTTAAATACGATTATGTAAATAATTTTAGAATTATCTCTGTCTATATATATATATGATCCAGTTGTACGTAGTAAAATATTTTTTACCTTATTTTTTGAATAATTAGTTCTACTTATTATAAACAATTATTTTCACACTTTCATTTAGCTTTTGCCGCCTACTGCACAATAAAATAAGTCTTAAGTAATCCATGCACGTAGTGATGATTCATGACCGTTGATGTCAGCGCAACAATAATTGAGCACTAATTAATCTCGAATTGCTGTTTTGATTAAGTGGGTGGTATTAGATCCATGCATATAAATTGACAGTTTCTGTTCTGGTTGAATCCATCTTTTGCTTTCAGTCTTTTAGCTATTCTACACTCTACAGTAGCAAATTTAATGAAGTTGCAGCTCCTATACTCGCTCACCATTTTTTGGGTGAGTTGCAATTTTATATATATAGTTTTCGTCTTATCTATCAAAATTTATTTTTCGTCATTTCTAGTAATCATTTAATTCTGAAAATATCATTCGTACTGCCAAAATCGCCATGGATTTTGAAAGAGTTATCGAGATGGTTGATAATAGTCGTAGGATATACTTCAGTCAACCTAACTTATATGCTCATATACTCTTTGACAATCAAAGTATTATAAAATCAAAGTTGCCGTAATGGGAAAAAACACCGTTCTACTAAGAGATGGAGCTAGAAAGTAGGCTATGGGATCAAACAACGTTCAGTTGAACCTGTAATTTTAATTCAAACTTTGTATTTGTGTTAATATATTTAATAAATATGTACACAATCAAATTTTGGCTCCTCGTCTGATTCTACTTATTGTTTACATGGGAGAAACTAATTAACAAAAAAAAATGTTTATTGTTGTATATATGCAGCCTGGTTTTGTAGCAAGTCATGCAGCTATATCACCAGAAGTTTATTGGAAAGTAAAATTGCCCAACACTCAATCCCCAAAGTCATCAAGGATTGCCTTCCCCAAGCAGGTTTGTCTTCAACTCAAGGGATATTGTTTTGCATGTTGAGAGAACGCAGCACATTTCTATCACTTCACTTGTTTGTGTCGTGCGTTTGACTTGTCTTCCCATATGTCTTTATGCGTATTGTGACATTTATATTTATATATCATTAGGTGTGGTTAAGCTACCTTTAACTTAAAAGTTTATCTGGTACATTTATTTAACTTCTTTGATATTTTATGTTCAAGAAATAAGAATATTTACCCCTCGATTATACTTTTGTTGCACTTTTTATCTACCTCTATTATCCAACTTTACATATGTGAGTTGTAGATTAATTCCTATTTCAAATTTGTTAACATCCGAGCTAACTTACCTATATTGTTCAATTTTTTTAATTAATTATGCCATATGGTGGCATGGCCCTATCATTAAACCAGAAAAAATACAAGGAAAAGAGGCATCAGAGTGAACGTACAAACCTCACTAGAAGACCTGGACTGGATTAGCACCAGTTCACAATTTCTAGTAAACAAAAGGAGTGATAAAGCTAAACCTACAGCTTGATCCATCTACAAAAGATAATAGATATAAGCTTCAATCACCCATGCCCTCTACACTTATTATATTACAAAAAATACATTCTTCCTCTGTTATGCCTAAAAGACAGCATCTGAATATTGTCTAAAATGTAAGGCCCGAGCTCTAGTAGCGCCAGGTAAATCGCTTGAGGATCATATCTGCAGTTCATCATTTTCAATACTCCACTTGGCTAGTGCATCTGCGACTTGATTAGCCTCCCTATAACAGTGATTAACCTGGCAAATAAGATATTGAAATCTGTTTAATAATTTCCATCATCTGCCAATGGACCTTCCTCTTATCATATATATGACTAGCAAAGAGTCACTTTCCAATATGATCTTCTCCAAATTATTCTGGATACACCAACGTATAATTCTAGCAAGAGTAACCTTAGCTTCAGCATGTTGCTGCTAACTTTTCCAACTGATTGAGCAAATGCCATAATTAATCTTCCTATGTGATCCCTGCAAATGACCTATATTGCTCAATTGAACTACTACACATGTGACCGGTGCATGGTTTAATTTCCGAGTGGCTGTTAATATTGTTTCTAGACCTCATGATCATATTGAGAGAAAACAAGAATTTACTGCATTTCACTATGGAATATCATTACATGCGTAGGATCGGAGAAAAATGATTGTCATCCAAATGAGCTTTGGCAAGATAACTGCCTTTTTCAGCGACCAAACTCTTTTTCTTGAGCACCATAATTGAAGAGCCACTTAATTTGGTCATTATTCAACCATTTGAGAAAAATGATTGTCATTGTATTTCTACAGATAATGAGATTAATGAGCTAAAACAAGGTAACACTGACACTAAGGAAAAAGTACACTATGGTTTGCACAAAAAAAAATGGTTATGATCGCGCTGCAATGGAAGATTAGGTTCGTGAGCTGAAACAAGATAATACTGCCAATAAGGAGAAAGTATAGTATGGTTTGCGCAAACCATATGGTTATGATCGTACTGCTGCGGAGGATGAGGTTCGTGAGCTGGAACAAGATAGCACTGCCACTAAGGAGAAAGTATACTATGGTTTGCATAAACCATATGGTTATGATTGTGCTGCTACAGAAGATGAGGTTCATGAGCTGAAACAAGATAATATGGCCACTAAGGAGAAAGTATACTATGGTTTGCATAAACCATATGGTTATGATTGTGCTGCTACAGAAGATGAGGTTCATGAGCTGAAACAAGATAATATGGCCACTAAGGAGAAAGTATACTATGGTTTGCGCAAACCGTATGGTTATGATCGTGCTGCTACGGAGAATGAGGTTCGTGAGCTAAAACAAGACAACACTGCCACTAAGGAGAAAGTATACTATGGTTTGCACAAACCATATGGTTATGATCGTGCTGCTACAGAAGATGAGGTTCATAAGCTGAAACAAGATAAACCGGCCACTAAGGAGAAAGTATACTATGGATTGCGCAAACCATATGGTTATGATCGTGCTGCTTCAGAAGATGAGGTTCATGAGCTAAAACAAGATAGCACTGCCACTAAGGAGAAAGTATACTATGGTTTGCAAAATCCGTATGGTTATGATCTCGCTGCTACGGAGGATGAGGATCGTGAGCTGAAACAAGACAACACTGCCACTAAAGAGAAAGTATATTATGTTTTGCACAAACCATATGGTTATGATCGTGCTGCTACAAAAGATGAGGTTTATAAGCTGAAACAAGATAAACCGGCCACTAAAGAGAAAGTATACTATGGATTGTGCAAACCATATGGTTATGATCGTGCTGCTTCAGAAGATGAGGTTCATGAGCTAAAACAAGATAACATTGCCACTAAGGAGAAAGTATACTATGGTTTGCAAAATCCGTATGGTTATGATCTCGCGCTACGGAGGATGAGGTTCGTGAGCTGAAATAAGACAACACTGCCACTAATGAGAAAGTATATTATGTTTTGCACAAACCATATGGTTATGATCGTGCTTCTACAGAAGATGAGGTTCATGAGCTGAAACAAGATAATATGGCCACTAAGGAGAAAGTATACTATGGTTTGCGCAAACCGTATGGTTATGATCATGCTGCTACAGAGAATGAGGTTCGTGAGCTAAAACAAGACAACACTGCCACTAAGGAGAAAGTATACTATGGTTTGCACAAACCATATGGTTATGATCGTGTTGCTACAGAAGATGAGGTTCATAAGCTGAAATAAGATAAACCGGCCACTAAGGAGAAAGTATACTATGGATTGCGCAAACCATATGGTTATGATCGTGTTGCTTCAGAAGATGAGGTTCATTAGCTAAAACAAGATAACACTGCCACTAAGGAGAAAGTATACTATGGTTTGCAAAATCCGTACGGTTATGATCGCGCTGCTACGGAGGATGAGGTTCGTGAGCTGAAACAAGACAACACTGCCACTAAGGAGAAAGTAAATTATGTTTTGCACAAACCATATGGTTATGATCGTGCTGCTACAGAAGATGAGGTTCATGAGCTGAAACAAGACTAAACGGCCACTAAAGAGAAAGTTTACTATGGTTTGCACAAACCATATGGTTATGATCGTGCTGCTACAGAAGATGAGGTTCATGAGCTGAAACAAGATTAAACGGCCACTAAAGAGAAAGTTTACTATGGTTTGCACAAACCATATGGTTACGATCGTGCTGCTACAGAAGATGAGGTTCATGAGCTGAAACAAGCTAACACTGCCACATAGGACAAAATATACCATGGTTTGAACAAACTGTATGGTTATGATCGTGCTGCTACGGAGGAAGAGGTTCATGAGCTAAAACAAGACAACACTGACACTAAGGATAAAGTATACTATGGTTTGCACAAACCATATGGTTATGATTGTGCTACTACAGAAGATGAGGTTCATGAGCTGAAACAAGCTAGCACTGCCACTAAGGACAAAGTATACTATGGTTTGCACAAACCATATGGTTATGATCGTGTTGCTACAGAGGATGAGGTTCGTGAGGTAAAACAAGATAACACTGCCACTAAGGAGAAATTATACTATGGTTTGCACAAACCATATGGTTATGCTTGTGCTGCTATAGAAGATGAGGTTCGTGAGCTGAAACAAGATAACACGGCCACTAAGGAGAAAGCATACTATAGCTTGCACAAACTATATGGTTATGATCGTGATGCTATAGAAGATGAGGTTCGTGAGTTGAAACAAGAAAACACTCCCACTATGGAGAAAATATATCATGGTTTACACCAACGTTATTGTGGGGAATAAACCACTTGCCAAAATAATATTCACGGTAATAAAAGTGGAATAATAATGTAGTACCGAGATACGGTAATTAACAAGAATAAAAGAGTAACAACGACACCAAGATTTTTACGTGAAAAACCCTTTTAAAAAGGGAAAAAACCACGGCCCCGAGAGGAGCAACTGATATCACTATAGTAAGGAATTTTACACTTTGTAGGTTAGAGATAAATACTCCAAAGACCACTACAACACTCAAAAGAAATAACCCTCTTTTGATATTCCCACCTCACTACAATATC